CATAATTAACAAGCAGATTTCATAAATCAGTTAGTAAAGTATACACACAACCAACAAGATTTACAGTTGAAATGGTCATGTATAAACATATATGGGATGGTATGACAGATATTTGCATTTGGTATCCTGCTTAAACCACTAGGCTACCTAACTTCCTATTCACATCACAATGCATTAACGTTTTTCCATTTGTTTTTTTAATCTCCCAATTCTGGATAGCAAAATGTATTCATGCACATTTCTAACTGTAGACTTCAGGAAGAAAATGAAGGGAAACTTTAGTTGAATAATGAACATTAGTTGGAGGATTTCATCATGAGCTGACATTAGTTACATAACCATTCGAACCCTGGTTGGTGCATACTGATGAAGAGTTCCAAGGTAGGCCAAAACAGCTGTCCAGTACTCCCAAGTTTTCCAGTGGTCCCCTACAAAACAGTTTAATTGGAAATCATAAGTCACAAGGAATGGATGCATCTGCGCCAGCCATTGAGCCATGTCACCAATTGTTTCCAACCATTGGTTTTTACCGTCCCGAGGACCCCAACCGGTCAGAAAGTCTACACCTTCCTACGTGGCTTAGACTAACTGTTGTAGATTTCATTGACTGGTGCCATGTTTTCGTTTGACCGCCTCTAGCTCTTTTTCAACCTGACTATCCCATGTCAGCCAACATTGCCCGTCGACGAAGGCAATGGCTAGGCATGTGCAACACATTTCCTAACCATCTTATTCGATGTAACTTGACAACCTCGTCTATTAATTTTCCCTCCTTACCTAGCACTCGACCGAAGCCTAACTTCAATATTGCTTACCCTAATATACCACTTCACACGGGAGATAGAACGCAGACACTTATGATCAAAGACAGCTAGTCTTTTCATGTCTTCCACTCTCAATGGCCAGGTCTCACATGCAACTGACTGATTGATATGAGTAACAGGAAATCACACTGATATCATCCAACTTTGCTCATTGCTAAGATCAAAGTGATTTAAACTCCAGATGAGGCTGTTTCGTCTCTCTAGGGCTGAATTTACCAGCTGTGTACTCAGACTGCTTCAGCTCATCATCATTAATTCGATACTCAGAAATTGTTTATTCATTCAATTATTTATCAATCATAGAATCCCATAGTAGTTAAAATCTTCTTAAGTGTCGGTGGTTTAAGGGTAGAATGTTCACCAACCACGTATGCGGGTTGGAGGTTCAAATCCCGGCCAACGTACTCACGAACGTCGTTTAGTTGATAGTAAGCCCGGTAGAAAGGGAAGGTTGGGAGCAACGTTAACAACCCTACCCCACAAAAGAAAGAATAATGCCACCGCAACTGAAACTTCAAAGCTCAAGCTTGAAACCCTAAGTTCCACTCGGAACTCAAAGGAATAAAATGAATAAAATCAATAATTGAAAACCCTACACAAGTAGCCAATGTTTTGAAAGAAATTGTACTGAGGATGCTGTATTATGTGTAAACATATTTTACAGAATAAAGTTATTATTATTATTGTTTCAGATAGCATCTAATCAGATCCTTGTCAATAACATTTTCACAATTCAACCCAAGAAATCTCATTTGAGATCGATGAAAGTGTGAGAAAAATATAGAGGGGGGAATAACATAACAAGAAATATATATACTACGTTTTCGAATGTAGAAGTCATGTTAAAATTCAAATGTTGCCAGAGACTCGGTTATCTAGAAATAAAGTCCTTTAGTTATGGTGTGTTCATGGAACACGTAGATCACTTTGTTACAGATGTCCGAAGGAACCAGGCATCTACATACGAAAAAAGTGCAGCAGAATGGAGTTAGCAATATTCGTAGTAGTCAAACTAGACAATTTCGTAAACTGAACTTACAGAAATGACCCAATGTATGATCATATAACTTTGTTCTCCAGGAAAAAAATAAACTGCAGTTGCAAATTGAGGTATCTAGGAAAGATTTCCTTCAATACACTGAAGGGATAGCTGTCTACCAAAAAATGTGTTTTTTCAGATAACTAACTTCTTCACATGTCTCAAAGAAAAACAATTTAACCGATTTTCAGCTATAATGTTACTCTTGAACTCCAAATTCATGAAACAGTTTTGTTTAGAACAGACGTCTTGTATTTTTACTTCACCTTGTACAATTCTTGGAAGTTACTCAACTAAAAGAAAATTACCCTCATTGTCTGTCTTCCTATAATTTAATTAATTAATTAATATAGAAGTTCATTTACAATTGCTCTAAAGTAATGAGTAACAGTGGTCTTTCATTATGTATAACTTCACTAGGACTTAAAATATAGACTGACGTGGAAGTATCTTTCAAAAGTGACTCTTTTGAGGACAGAAATTTCGATGAAATTCTGAATGTTTTTTTCTCGCAAATACTAGAACAAACCAGTCCCGCTCATTCATACGTACGATTAATTAGATACTTCTTCTTGTCATGAGCTATGTGTTAAGCTGCCCTTAAGAGAGCTTAGTGTTCTCTTACTATAGAGTATTGTTGCACTTATAATGCATGCAACAAGATTTGAAATTTTACCCTACAAATAAATTTAGCTTTATGTCAATGCATAATTCTGTGGAGAATCAAATTATTTAAGATACAATATAATGCATGAGAGTTCAAAAATAGTCAGTGCTAACAACTCTCCCTTTGTATCTCATCAGGCAAAACCAGAAGGCTATATAGAAAACTATATGTTCGCATTAAAACCAAACCATATCCTACTTAGCTCGTATTCTGTGCGATAAAGAAAGCATTAGGCGTGACACTTATAATTCATTAAATAGTCAGCAGAACAACTGGATCTCGTCTTTCCAACTGATATCATTTATAGGTACGTTTTCTTTCTGTTATGTGCTGCTTTGTTTCTCTCTTCCTTACAAACTCTATTTAAAACATTCTTCTTCGTTCTTTCACACTCCGTATACCTAGACCTTTTTGTTACCGCTTACGCCAGTAAATATGCTAGCATCTACTTTCCTAACACCTCCAAACACTCCGTTCAATTTTGGCTTTGCTACCGACATGCCAATATGTTGTTGTCATAATGAACTGAGATTACCTTAATCTATGTAAAATTTTATTTATTTATAATGTACTAACTGGATGCAATACTGTGGTAAAAATGCTGAGAATTCCATTCTGTATCACAAGTACTGTTTTGGAATAAAGCAAATTATTATTATTATTAAAAAAATGTGTCCGTCGGTGGTTCAGCGGTAGAGTGCTGGCTAACCACGCGCGTGGTCCAGAGTTTGAGTCCCAACCGGCACACACCTTTTGCCCCTAAGCCCGTTACAATCCCACTGCTACTGAAACTTCAAAACTCCAGCTTGAAGACCTATGTCCCATTCGGAACGCAAAGGAATAAAATAAATAAATACAATGCTAACAAATATTTATCAAACTTATGGATACGAATCTCATGTTTTCGGCAAATTGTTCAGGAACACACTAGAAGTTATAGCCAGTAACTTATCAACAGTCAGCTTCCAATTTTGTACAACTTCCAAACTTGATGCCTCGACACAGCTAATTAATTCAGAAGATATTCTGGAATGAGTGGAATAAAGTTGGGTCACTAACATAATACTACAAAACTTATTTAGGGAAAGATTCACCATTATCCAGGTAGTTTCAATAGAATATAACACACAGCATCTTTGAACACTAACTGGAAGTCAAAAGTTGATATTCAAATTTATTGGTCACATTACACTTAGCTAACTATAATCACGTGTTGTGAACCGAAAAAAACAACAACAGTAAAATGGCATTCAACAAACATATTGATCCAAATGCATAAGTGAACCAATTAAAGGGAAATTTGTCAACAACAACAACATAAGAAAAGGTTAATACAAACGTGTACCAAACTCCCGAACAAACTAAATGACACAGAAAAGCAAAAAACGAAAATCGTAAGCCACGTAGCAACGAACAGGCTAGGCTGTAAAAGAGCAACATCAAGAGGACCACACAAGAGTTAAGATAAGCATCTTCCACAGTGATAATCAAGTCCTAACTCCTCAATGGATATCGCTAGAGCAAATCCAATTGAAGTAAAGAAAGGTGAGCAATATTGAGGTTAGGTGTCGAGTGCTAGGTAGGTTGGAGGGGAAATCAATCGACGAGGCTGTGAAATTACATCAACTGAGGTGGTTAGGACATGCACTACGTATGCCTAGTCATCGCCTTCCTCGACAATGGGCTATGTTAGCTGATATAGGGCCAGGCTGGAAAAGAGCTAGCGGCGGTCAAACGAAAACATGGCACCAGTCAATGAAATCCACAAGAGTTAGTCTAAGCCACGTTGGAAGGTGTAGACTTCCTGGTTGGGGTTCTCGGGACGGTAAAACCAATGGTTGGAAACAATTGGTGACATGGCTCAAAATCGTTCTCAATGGCTGGCGCAGATGCATCCACTCCTTGTGACTTATGATTTCCAATCAAAATGTTTTGTTCTTCGTTATTACTATTCCTTTGTCTCACACCTCTGTTTACTATCTATATTATGCATTTCTCGTACTTTCTTCTCTGCTTTGTGTGCTACATGGAGTGTGGCGACTTGAACTACCGCACATATGTGCAAAGTTCTATGTCGAAAACCGACCGACCTGAAGTAAAGAAATGTATCAAGCATTTACAGCGGGAATTTTTTCAATGTTCAAAGCTAAAACGGAAGAATAAACCAGCTAGGTGAAGAGAATATCGAACGAATGACTGAAAATTAACTTATACAAATGATTTTTGAGATAATCCATGGTTTTCACTACCGACTTTCAATTCGTATTGAAAGTGATGTGACCACATTATTGCTAAAAGACCTATCCCAAATGAAAGGAGTTCATAGAACGCTTCCAATCAAAAACCCCATCTACAACTAATGATCACATAATTACGCAACAACCAGAGAATTTCACTTCATAGCTTAACACTTCAATTGTTGCACTGTATACCTTAAGAATTAAATTTTTTTAAAACACAAGAAATATAACTAAATCACTATATTTTTATCCACACTGTACATATTTGTGTAATTACATTTGTGAGTAGTTTATTTTGAAGTAAAGAGAAACAAAAATAATCTCAAATTGTGGCTTTTCTGGTTCAGAGCTCACGTCTTCATTCAGATGTGTCTGCATTTTTTTCAAACACTCGTCTTTATCCATCTAAATATGTGTACAAAAAGCTCCAGTATTAAGTAATTAAGTAATAAGTCTAAATTTAGGGAAAAAAAATAGTAAACTACTGTTATCCAATTCAAGAAAACAAACAAAACAAATCATTTGCCTTTCTCACTGTTTTAAATACAAGTGAAAAAATTATTGAAAAAGAAGAATATAAAGAGAACATAGAGGACCGGTTTTATGTGTAAGTTTGAAGGCGAGAAATAAAAGTCACTGTCATCATCATTATCATCATCACTAGACAAAAAGCACTGCATAGCATAAATGCAAACCATGTGTATAGCTAGAGAAGATATGAAAACAAAAACAGAAAGGCTTATTAATATTATTACTTTCAGCAATCAATACAAGGCAGCTGCAGGTGAATCAAGGTAACTTGGTTCCGATGGAGGGCGGTCGGTGAAGAAATATGATTTTGACTTTTTATTGCCAGATGGTTTGTTTTTTGGAGGTGGGGATGTTTTCAGCTCAGGAGTCACAGCAGATTTCTGATTGCTTTTTATGTCATCCGTAAAGTATACTATAGGCTGGATACCAGGTGGCAGACCATTTTGATGTAGTCTTAATGCAGCTTTATGAAGTTGTAGCATAAATTCCTCCATAGCTATGAATATATATGAATGGTGAAAAGAAATGACAATTAAGTGAGATTCACTAAGAATTCTACGCTGACTATAACAAGTAAATATAAGATATTAGATTACTTTAAAAACAGTATTAATAATGAAAGCAACCTCAGAGAAATATTTAATAAATGATTTACCAAGTTTATTAATTTCAATCCATATACTAAACACACCAACGGACGATTATACAGAGAAGGGATAAATAAACGACAACAGAATGGGCAAGTAAGCACGCTCTAAAAATATATTGTAGGGAGCGTTCGTCAGTTTATATCACTGCATGATTGTTGCTGGCTTTGATTTCCAACCATATATAATGTCTGAAGTCCTGTGAACCATCGAACCTCATTTAGAAAGCCGTAATGCATCACCAACTGAGTACAAATAAGCATCAGACATTCATGATACATCTCCACCTTTTTCAGCTAGTCCCAGGGCCTGAGGAGGGTAAGAAACCTGCCGAGACAACATCAGTAATACAGGTTCAAATCACCGAATACTGTGTACTAAGATGGTATCACTTGATGTAAAATGGTCACCACCCATAGTTAGGACTGTTACTCGATTGATTTTAAAACTCGACATTATTTGTAATCACACTACAACTATTGGGGAGTAGGGAGGGGTAACGGAACGATTTTGCTTCTCTTGTGAGTTATCTATTATTCCTCTAATCCTAGAGCCTGCAGGTAACTGAACAATGTTATTCGTTTTCTAAGGATTCTAGAGCTTATGTGCGTCATTGTTTTTGAACCAGTATTCTTAACTCCCCTACGTGAATCCTCCGTTTACAAATAACTGGATGACAGAGGTTAAACATCCTTTTATTGTTGTGAGGACACATGCTTACCACAGCGGAGTTAGCGGATGAGACCTCTCTGGTAGAAAATACAAATATGTAGACAGGATCTATCCAATCCCAGTCAAATTAGATATTAACTTGATCAGAATTTTAACATTGTAGACTGCTGAAGGTTAGTATACAGAATATGCTACACTTGGTCTTCACCATCTTGGCATACTATTTGCTCCTATTCTCTGCTTAAACAACTACACAACAAACCAGAAGTCTTTTAATTCTGCAGAAAGCAGGGATGATTACCGCAGCTGTATTAATAAATAAGAATTAGTAGCTGTTCTCGAGTTGTTATTCTAGGTGATTTCGCATTCGTTGGCAAAACTATTTTCCAAATTCACTCACTAGTTTAATAAGGAAAACTTCTTAATTTGAGGAGAATCTTTTAGTAAGTAGAAAGATAGTTGAACAAATGCAATCTATGCGAAATAAACGAAGACAAGTTGCAAACATTCAAAAAAAGATCAAACTTAATGGTTTAAAGAATATTTGATCATAAATAGTGATTATTTTAAAGTGTGTATTCCAAAGCGAATGAAAAGCAAAACAATCGGGAACACATAACAAATCCTCGTTTTTCTTAGAGATGGTCAAAGAGAAAGATTTTCAGTTTGTCAACTACGTAAATACTGTCTAGCACCTCTCTAAATTGTATGGAGGATTTCATCATGAGCTGACATCAGTTAGAGAACCACTGGAAAACCTGGGAGCTCATGATGAAATCCTCCATACAATTAAACAAAATCCCTACCAAACCAATACTTGAAAACCTCTCTAAATGTTTTTAGAAAGGTGATTTCTGGTTTCTGTTGTCAACTACTAGTAAGATATGCAAGCGAAAAGCAACAAGTTGTCAGAAGAAGCATCAAAGATAGGACTTCAGGTGAACATAGAGAAAACAGAGGTGATGAAGATTCCTGGGCAACACCACCAACAGCAACAACAGACAACAATCAGCATAAATGGGAGGAACCTGAAAGAAACAACCTCCTTCACTTAGTGACCTGGGAAGCATCGTTTCAACTACAGGCACGGAACTGACGAGGATATCAAAGCAAGACAAGCTTTCACTACTCTCAAGTCTGTGTGGAGGTCAACAACATTCAGCATCAAAAACAAGATCCGGATTTTCAACTCTAATGTGAAATCAGTGCTACTTACTATACGGATCAGAGACTTGGCGCGTCATAAAGAGCATCTCAAACAAACTACAGACCTTCATTAACAGTTGTCTTCGCTCAATACTCAAGATCAGATGGCCGGCCAGAAAAGCTCAGCAATAGAGATCTCTGGCAATGAGCGAACCAACCAGGAACCGATTGTGAAACAAATAGGCAGGAAGAAATGGAGATGGATTAGCCATACTCTGAGGAAATCATCAAGTGACATCACTAGACAAGCCATTGCTCGAGTGGAACCCGAAAGGGAAGTGGCGAGTTGGTCGTCAGTGCAAGGGTGAGGGTGACTTGGAGGAGGTCATGTGAAGAGGGGATGAAAACGTGTGGGTAGACTTGGAGCCAGGTGAAGACTCTAGCAGAGAACCGAACGCAATGGAGACGCACGGCTGAAGCCCTATGTTCCTCTAGGAATTAAAGGATACAATAATAATAATAATAATATACTACTAAGCTTATATTACTGAAGAACACATTCAAAGAATGAAAGCAATTCAACAACAGATAAAATAGGCTCTACAGTTATATATACATTATAGTGAATGAATGAATGAATTAGTGTTATGAACAACATTAATGTTGTTTAAATAACATCAAATCAATAATATTGATAGATTACAGCTCAATAGCATCAACATAAAATAAGCTGAATGTCAGAAAAATTAGGAAAGGTAATAGTACAAATTCATGAGTTTATAGTTTCTACTGAGGGCCAGGGCAGTAGTAGGAGCTGGACTTGTTTCTTTTGAACACAGAGCACTGGTTGTTTGAGGCGAATTGCAATAGCCTCTGCTGTTTGGAGCATGCGGTGCTTCGATGATTTTGGCAATTTATCAGGCACTCGGTAGATTATAGAGAAGGATTCTTCAACGCTGGCTGGCTTTGTGGCCGGTTTGTACCAGATGGTCCAATATCGAACTGTTAATGGTTTTAACTACACCTTTACTTAGCCATAGTGGGAGATGTTCTCGAACACGAAAAATCAAGTTCCTAGAGCAACGGCCAATATAACTCGCTCCACAAGCGCAGTTGAATTGGTAGATACGATGTTATTTAAACATTAATGTTGTTTATAACACTAATTCATTCATTCACTATAATGTATATATAACTGTAGAGCCTGATGATGAAGTTATCGAAAAGAGTACTCTTTGTTCAGTATCTATTCTTTTGAAAAATTTTAATGGGCATTTTTAATCAAATAAAATAGGCAAAATCATCACCAATTAAAACTCCTACAATCATACATACATGTGATATACACCCCGAATTATAATGTCGACGATACATATAAACAAAGATACAAAGACAACAATGAAAGAAGGCGTGAAAAACAAAATAACTTTGTTAACCATTGTGGTTTACACGCATATGACAAAATTCTTAGGAAAACACTACCCATTGAACACTGAACAATAAAAATAAATACCACATGCATTAAAACATGACAATAACTCTGATAAACAGTTTTATATATACACTTTAAAGTGCATAGGATAAAGTAAAAATGTTACCTTTAACAGAGAGGAATTTCATCGGAGAACCATTAACTGGAAGGCATGGATCATCATAGTAAATCAAATAGTAATTTAATCCAGTCTATTGGTAATTCAATGGGAAAGAGAAATAAACTAATTGATAATATGAAATACAGTAATCAATAATGGTAACATTCAGAGCAATAGTACATATAAACACTATGACTTAAAATGTATCTCGTCCAATTCAAAATTTGAACAATGAAAGAATAAACTGTAACAATCTGTTTCCCTACGGCTTTGCCCCTTATCTTGGTTCTTACTGCCTATCATAAATTATGACGAATCCCGGTCGATAACTGCTACCTTGCCGTGGTGGTCGGGCTTGAATGCCGCAGTGACCCAACAAGCTATACTGGCTGAAACTTATGTCGCTTGAGGTCCTACTATGCCAGAAAGGTTGTTTGGATAGCGGTTAGACAAAAAGCAGTTACCCAACCCAATGCTATGACTCAAAGTAAATCACAAAATATCATGCCGGATCGGTCAGGGCCCGGATTAACAACGACCGCGCTTTCTGCTGCTGTGTCACAGGGCAGAATTGATAAACATGCTACTGATACACACCAAATGAAAAAGAACAAACAAAAACAGGCCGTTTGTGACTGGCCTCAAGAAGTTGTCCCCTGGGCTCTGCGGCCACGCAACCAACTTCCACGGTGTGGGCAGCCGGGAAGTAACAATCGCCCTCACAATCCGAAGTGCACGCGAAACCTCTCTATTCCTCACTCATCTTTGTCTTCATCTTCATCTCTATTATCTTGCCTTCCTTTTACTAATGCAACTCCTCTACTTGATGGCTCTTCACTTCCTCTTCACTCTGTGTGCACTGAAAACGACGGAAGCCAAAAAACCACCATCGAGCCTCCTAAAGCCACGCCACCAATTTCATTATGACGAATCACCTAGAATTGATATGACTAATGAACAGGGATGAATGTACGCGTATATACTACAAAGGAACGCTTGTCTGAACGTATCACGATTGCTTCATTGTTTATTAGTTTCATTAATGCTGTTAGATATTCTTTAAATAAGACATCAGACTGTGCAGTTTTATCCGCTTTAAGTCAGTTAGCTGACTGCATATTTTTCGAATTAGGTTTCTGAATCTACTCTATTATATTTTCTTGCAATGTAAAATTTGAAGCCAAACGAAAGTACTTCCGTTCTAAGCTTACTTAAACATAGATTCGATAGAGTCTACACAAATTTCTCTGGATTTTTGTGAGCACAAAAGCATCATTGATCTTTCTTAACACTTTAGAAAGGTCCTCAAAAATCCTCTTAGAAAAGTGTGCTGATGATAACGCGGTGCACACAAGTATTTATGAAAGTCTTGATAAGCCGTTTATATTTCGAATTCTTCTTAATGACCATGACTTCGTCTACTGTACATTATTATTATTATTATTATGGGGAATGACAACAGACATTCTGGAGGAATCAGAGTATAAAAATGGAAATAGAATGGTGGAGATTTTGGGCCCCACTGATAATTCTGTTCCCAAAAGACATGGATCAGGTGAAAACAAATGAAGTAGGTCGTTACAGTGATAATTTTAATGATTCCATGGAATAAGACTGGCTAAAATTCAGTTTAGTTGATATTGCTAATCAGCATATACTGTCTCCAACTATATAGTCCAAAGTCTTATCTAAGGAACACCACTCTATCTTCCGTGTACATTGTTTTAATATAGTGACTAATATTGAGGTTAAGTGTTGACAGTTAACCAAGGAGAAGAAGTAGATCAATGAGGGGAAACAGTAAAAGAGACCGTTAGATATGAACGATCTATTAGATCAGCTGAATGATGAAGGAGCGTTAATTGATTAGAAAATTTTATCAAAGAAAAATTAAGGAGTCCAGAGAAAATATCTCTTCGGAGATTTTCAGGATGATAACCTTTTATGTGTTCCAGAAGTACCTCATATTCGTTACTGGAGACACTACAAAACCAGTAAAAATGAAGAACATACGTTAAGGCAGATGGTATCCGTCTGTTTCTGATCAACAAGTGTTCGAAAAGTCACATTGTTTGTAATTCATACCCCAAACGCGTAAGAAAATATGCTTGTATAGACTACTACAAATAAGTGTCACGGTATTTAACGCGAAGATTCTAAAGACTAAGGACAGGAGTCAGATGAAAACGTTAGAAAATGAGTGACCATTCTACCTGGGTTTTGTCCCAATTACCTGAGGAGAAATTCTAAAGACTGGGAAACCTGAACAGACACCGGTGATTCAAACTGACCTATGGATTTCACTAGCTACACCAGACAGATATGGACACCACAGTGAGTTCGGTCTTTTAGGCGTTCATAGATTATGCTTTCTAAGGACAATATTTATGAACCGAAGAGGTCAAGTTGCAAAGTCAGACCAATATGAAAACCTTAAGAAACGACCACTGAACAACAGTAGTAATGTAGACAAAAGCCTGGAGCATTATATCATGATGTAACACAGTGAGCATAAAATTCGTAAACACCGAAATATCAATCTATGCAAACTCTTTGGCGATTAATATTTGTATGCACAAAAGTCAACTTAACAGACTTTATTATGATAAGTGCAATGACATACGGAGCCTTAACAAAAATGTGTCTGAATGAATTACTAGGGTACTCACGATCGTGATATTTTTGCATGAAGTGACATTAAGTTTTATCACTCATTTTGTCAGGTAGAAATATCCATGTATCCCATAATTTCAACCTCCAATAGTCAGTTTTCGGAGGCGAATATGAGATATTCATAGCGGCTGGAGAAATTCATATGGGTATTATTGAGTATTCTATATCCAAAACAGAACGGAATGGCACTTACCTGATTGAATTTCCCATGTGATTCAATTAACATCTCAGAATGGTATTCATGAACCTGTACAAGATCACGTCTTTTCGCATTCGCCCATAAACTTGACTTTTTCGAAGACTCCACTGGAGAGATACCTGAAGATTGAATGCACCTATTTTGAAAATCTGAGGGGCAGCGTGAAATAACATAAGCGTAACGACCAAACGATGGAGCCTCCTCAGTTGTACTACTTTGGCATAAAACGACTGGTGCTGCAGACTTGTCTTTGTGTTCACCGGATAATTCTGGAGGTTTTTGAATACTTAAATGACATTCACCGGGTTGAATCCACCAACGACGCATGTAAATATACTCACGATTAACCAACGGGAATGGAAAGCGAACAACCCAACGAATGATAGAAAAATCCTTGCTATCAACATCACTTGGTGTAATATAATCCAATTCTACAATTTTATCATCCCAATGTCGTCGATAATCAAGATTAAGTTGTACTTCCAAAAATGATGAGGCTGATATATCATGGAATTGTCCACAAACTATAAATAAAAAAGTCAGTGACTCTTAAATTAAGGTACTAGTGGGTTTGACCTACAATAATGAACACAAAATTAACACTTGAGATTCATTTCACTTCCGAATGTCCACTATAGTCTGACATATGTGCGAAGTGATTGAATGACTCATCAACATGGAATTTACACAAGTGTGTGAAGTGAATAAGTCAATGAGTCTGAAATTAATTTGGGCACTTAAAAATGCAAATGAAATTATAAGTACCCAAGATAATAAATCACCTAAGTAAAAGCAATATTTCACAGAATATGCTTACTAAAAAGGTAATGCGGTAGAATATGTGCATCTTGCTCAGAACGGACTTTTCATACACTAACTTATTAGTTATACTTAATGTGGGCTGGCTATTGATACTGCCCAAACACTCAGGATGAAGTGGAACGAGGTTTGAACTCGCTACCCACTGACTAACAGTCAATGACCGATATGTTAGTATCACCTCCATCCAACGAAAAGTATTACAACCGTAAGCACCTTATAGTGCCGGCACTCACCTATGATGGCGAACCGCAAAGAATAGTCGGAAAATTGTTGCATGTATGCATTTGTGAGTCTTAAGTGCTGAGGTTTCTATCCTTACGGTAGAAATATGTAAATCAGTTAAAGACAATCTTCGGTACTTTCACAATCGTCTGTTGACTGTGAAATGTCTGACGTTGGTAGGAGCACTGCTGGTCTACATTCATTAGGAAATTTTCTTTCTTTCTTTCCCTTTAATGTTTGACAGTTGTCTATGTTCAGTGATTGCCGTCTTGACTACAACTGAAGCACTTGAAAATTGGTGACAATCACACCACTGTCTTCTCATCTTTTAATAAGTAGTGGGAAAGTGATTGTAGTCTTAGCCCAGTTTATGAGACTTTGTTACTGATCATTCTGTTATTTTTCATTTTTACTTAACCTGTTACGTTTTTATAATGTTGTTCACAGGGTCCAAATATCACATGGAGTTGATAAATATCTAACTGTTTGATGAAATTTAAAACTGATTTCGCGTATAGCACTATTATAACATAGAGGAAATTCAATTACATCGCATTCCACGTGCAAAAAGAAATTTCTAGTTTTAACTCACAAAGTCTTTCGATACATATTACCGAATGTGCATAAGCTACTCAACAAATTTTAGGAGCAGTTCCACTCTTTCTCCCCACTTTTCACAACGTTGACGAAACTCTCCTACTTTGCCTTTAGATCCCAGACTAACTCGCTTAGAATAAAAAGCAAATGCTAAAGTTTACCATAAGCACAACAAGAGAGCAACTGGAACGTGTAGCGTTAAGACGTAAAATAAAAATTAAAAAAAAACACTTACTACGATATTCGTATTTATTGCTTGACTTTGGAGAATTATTTTCGTTGTCGTCAAGAAGTACTTTCGCTGGTTTTCGCCAAACATGCATATTTGGCCGATCAAACACCAATTCCCATGAATCATCAACGAAACCTGTACCATCTGGTTGAATGTCCAAGTTCATAAAGAATGATGAAAGGGAGGTATTAAAACTATTCACACTAGGGATCTCGTTTATTTGAGGATTAGGGTCAAGGAGATGTGAGCTAGAATCCTCGGTTGTAAGTGATTCTAAAGCAGGATGTAAAAAAACTGATTTTCGCTCGGCATAATTCTGGAGTAATTGCCTTATCATTAAAGTCAAAGGAGGATCCCATGATTCACAAGGTTGGTTTTGAGTAGGATCTTGAGTAGTAAATGGAGGCTGATTTTCCTTGCTAGCATCATTTTCTGTATCAAACGAGTTGGTGTTTTCAAGATTATTTGAATCAACTTTCGTTGAAAAGCTTTTCAAGGTGCTAAAGGTTAAGAGTAATAATGTTTAACGACTTTACTTACACTAAGACTTCTTCATCCGTGATTTTATCCTGGGCAAATGAAATAAGTGATCCACCAAGCAGAACTTTTTGAGTCACGAATAACCGAGAATCGGTTTTTAAGGTAGAATGTAGACTGGAATATTTGTCTCGTAAACGACGGGCAATCAGTGTCCCTGAGTGACGACATAAAAGTAGGTTGGCTATTAATGCTCTGTGAGTAGATAATAGGAAACGTGAAAATGAATCACGTTGACAAGCTTTTTCAATCTGAGAAGATAATTGCAGGGCGAGTGAACCGATTCTTACAGCTGCTGGAGACTTCAGAACGTATTTCTACAATTTAAATGGATCATATTAATAATTAAAAGAAATAACCCACCAAAATAGTAATTGGATTAGAAGAACTTTAAGTAATACCTCACCTGTGATATAACAAGGCCGCATAAAATGAGTACACAGCTAAAACCAAAAATACATGTACACGCATACGGCTGCTAGCGAAGTTGAATGTCAGTAGGTTATAGATACTGCCTAAAGTGAAGTAGTGTAATATGTAATTTATATTATTGAGTCACATAAATAGGGGCAAAAGTAAAGCCACATCGTGGTAGTTACATGCAAGTACTCCCCTTGTCTGATTGTACTAGGATTGGTCTCCCTAGGGGAATTTTCTAAACTGACTTAGATAACGTATACAACATGGTTTTAGTTACTATTTGAACACAAACTTGGGACACACAAAATGATCGAACAGCAATATAAAGAACATAAATAAAATAGTTGAGGAACAAGGGGATGAAAACAAACAGAGATAATTACTCCATTAGTTTTTATTCGCAGAAAAGACAAGGATACTGAAACATGATCGCCAGACTCCTACTTCAAACCATGTCTGATAGTGTCTAGAACTACTCAGCCGTATAATGTCTCGGATGACATCCAAGGCAGCTTGACCGGTAGCCACTTGGATATTAAAAATATGCGTCCATGACACCGGAACCGATGTTTTAAATAGAAAAACCCTGTATACAAACTGTCAATTCAGGTTTGGTATGCATGGATTTCTAATCTTAGAATAGTGACTGAAGCATGTGAAGGTACTGACTACCCCAATTTTAGAGGTAAGGTTATTCTTGATCATTCTTAAATAGAAAGGAAATCACGTTGTTGGTGTGTCTGTTACTACACATATCCGTTAGGACTTAGACACAGGTGCCCGCACACATGCTATGTGCGTCACACTTCATATCCAATTAATTCGGCAACATCACTACAATTTCACCTGAGCACAATACTAAACTAGTAAATAACCATATTTAGTTTGATTTTAACATCAATATTTCAACTTACAAGGACATTTATATAGGAATTAGGGGATTTCGATTCCTCTAGACGCTGAGAGTTTCAAAATAAAGAGCATCTTGCATTGTGCTGCTTCATGGTTAAAAGTCGAGGTCAAATACAACCTAAGTAGATTTGCATTAATATTACACAGTACATTACAAGCTGTTCCAAAACTGGTTAATAATCAATAACGTTTGAATTTAAGTAAGAAAGTAAAGTGATAAGATGGAGAGGTTGCACTTTATGTCATGGGATATGATAGGCTATACAACCGATATCAACTGTTTAACGGTCAAACAGATAAGCCCGCCAAGAGCAACCCAGAATCTCTTACAAACTGCTTACCAACGAAATCTCGGCTGATTTACAAAAGGCACATTCGCCCCCAGCCAGTCTACGTAATTTGTCGTGCAGTTGACATGTCGGACTGCCTATCCGAAATATAGACTACGCCACACAACAGCCTCCTCTAATCTTAGAGTTATAAGTGTGTATCGAGTAAAGGTAACATGAAAAGGTCACGTAGTTAAGTTGAGAGCGCATTTGAATCGACGCAATTTCGAGGTGGGTAGTTGGCTAGTCTGAGTCATCTTCGGTAATCTCTTTAGTTACCTTGGTATAGTCTTAAGATTTACTTTGGGCATCCGAAGCGTTGCAGCTGTGATAATTTTAAAGATGAGGTAATGCGTCTTATACCGAGTGGATGGACTCATTTAATTTAATTGGATTAAATGCTAGCCCCAAATCAAGTATACATTGTTCACTATTGACTTTCTGGAATGGTACCGATATCCAGTGAATTATTTTGTTTACGGTTTCAGATACACATAACTAATTGACTGGGTTACCTGAAACGTAAGCAGCGTTAGTGTTACGCGACCGCAGAACCCATGGGACAACTTCCGGTCACTTGACATGTTTAAATTGGTTACCGGGGTTTTCCGCTCTAAGACATAACGGCTGACTACACAGAGGAGAGGCAGCATACCCGTCACACTGGCTGTCTGCTGTTACGTCCTTATTCGCCAGAAGTAGGGCTGCCCACAGCCCCCAAACGTAGTGTAACCGACTTACACTACGTCATCTGCTTTATGTCTAAACACTATCTAAACGACCTTTCTGAAATATGACCTGCAGCAACGTTAGCTATTTGAGTCATCGCCACATACAAGCTCGACCACCATGTAATGGTAGTGGCATATAATACGTTAAACTCCAGGTAACCCAGTTTTTACAAAGAACATGGTATGCTAAATTGAAATCTTTGATAACACTGAAACTGCAATAACTAGCAAGCGGATGTATATACAAACTCGTCTGCAAATTTTCCGAAAAATCTAAGCAAGTGTTCTTTTCCCTGAGATACCAATTTACTACTAACACGAAGTGCACTTTTTAATAAGCACGCATGATTTCTGCGCGTGTGGGATTTTCATACTTGATGGTCACTTCGAGTGTAGTTGGAAGAAAATACTATGTGATGGCAAGTTAATTAAAGGAAGTACTCGGGTACTTGTAATGAAAACAGTAATTAGGATGAAATATATGGATCACGTGGTCTGAGGACTCTTCGAAGTTACTATTTGTGGGTTGTAGTCAGTCAAACAATAGAAGAATGAAATGCTAGGGAGAACAAAGAATATAGTGTGAATTTTGAAAATGGACCTGACTATGTTGATTACAATATAACTTTGTAAACACGTTATTTGTACATAGGTTGGGTGTTAAGCTAATCAAACGCTTTAAATACCATTATACGAAATATTTTTCCTAATAAAACTTGGCCGGATAGTTAGTTAATCAGCACGAATACATGATTACAAGGTAAAACTTGCTGAGGAAAACTCCTTACCAAGATGCCCATCCGCTACCTACAGTTTAAACGAAGCGCCAAGCTGTGAGCTCAACTTCCCCGCCACCGTTCTTGGGATTTTTAAGAACTGTTCAAAACAGACTATATTTATCTATTTGGTGTGCTGGAAAATAAAACTCAAAATTGCTTTCAGTGAGTCAACAGAAGATGTTGTGACCAACAGACAATTCAGCAAGAGAAACGAATTCGCAGATAGTTTGATTGTGACTTTTAACTGTAGCATCATCTCATGTGTTCACTTTTATTAAACTTAGATGAAGTAAATATATTAAGATCTCAGTCGTCGGTGCATTAACTGCCGTTTTTACAGTTAAAATAGATCTGTCTCACATGGGTACCCACTTTCTGACCTTTTTATTTATTTATTTATTTTTTATTTACAGCTTGATTCCACACCGTATTTTCAGTACAAGTGTGGAATTTTCAGCATGGATATCGGTTGCCCAAATTCAGGCATACCATAGATATCGGGTGTGCGCCGGCAGGGGATCGAACCCCGGACCATGTGCATGGTCGGCGAGAGTCCTAACCACTGTGCCACCGACGCACGTCTTGTTGATTTAAGAATAGAACTTGTGCACTGTGGTAGAGCATAATTCCATTATGGGTAAAATTTATTTTGATAAAGTCTCACAGTGTTATACAGTGTTATTTACTGATGACGTTTCGAGCACAATTTATTGCTCATAATCATATCAAGGATATGTTCAAGTAAATTTTACCCATAATGGAATTTTTAAACGTCTGCTTATTATTTGCAATTTAGATCAGCCACCCTGGATCCTGTATTCCTAATATGGTTTAAACTAGGACACATGAAACCGTCAAGTTATGTGAAGATCAAAGCTCCGATGTTCCTCGTGTAAAGCTAATAATTTTCCGAGTGCTTCTGACCCACTGCTTTACAGTTTACCTGAGTCTCCTGATCATGACTTACAAATATCCCTAAATCCACATACTCGGTGTTGCACAACAGACTAAAGCCATTTCTCGAGAAATCATATATGTCGTTGCGAAATTCATGAATATGGGCGCCCTTGCTTATATAACTCTTCAGTGCTTGTACCAGTTAACCAATATATCTAAACATTCCTGAAAAGTAGGTCATTTAATCTCAATACTAAGCTTGTCATAGCCTGGGAAAATCAAGTAGCATGGGCCAAATATTTCATAGATTACGAAGGGGTGGTGACCAAAAAAAAAGCCTTCAGGCATCCCACTACCACTGTATATTTTAAAGATCAGTGTGATGAAAAATCTTGTTCTTTGAGGTTGAGGCCACTAGCTATGAAATGGTTTCCTTGATGGGACGAACACAAAGGTGCCCCTAGTAGTTGCTAGAAATTCCTAACGACGTGAGTCATAGTAATTTTTACCTATTTTAGAAGGCCATCCAAGGACGTTACTTGATCTTAACATCCAGGTTTTTCAGCGAAGTTATTTTCTAATTGCTGTCTATAGTGCTGAAAATATAGCTGTACGGTGACAGAATCACATTTATCTTTCCTATCCTCAAAGATCAAAACCAAAAGCTGATTCCAACTAGGATGTCTTTTTTCTCCAGTGCTTCATTATAACTGCAATGATGGGGCATTCCTTTAGCTTCCCATCAATAATTTTCAAGCAGACACGCAGTCTTCTTCATACAGTGTGTGGTACTTTTGATACTCCTGTTCTTTTAAAACAGATCCGTGTCGTGAGAAAAACAGCTACCACCTTATGTCTGGATGAAATCTATGTGAGTACTATTCAGACGGAAGGGGCTGAGTGAATCGTTTTGCCATTGCCACATCCATATTTGTTTCTAATCATTGGTATAATGACAAAAGTATACTGAAATATCTGGAGCGTTTCCTCCCTAGAGCAAAGACCTTCCTGGGGCTTTTCATGGCCATATCGAGCGCATTCATATTTTGGTGTATTAGTCTTCCATAAATTGTCTTCAACCAGTATGAAGGTATAAATCTTTATATTCAGGGTCTCCCATACCACACTGGCTTCCAGACATCGTATCATCTAACTTACAATGCTTTGTTTGTCCGTACGGATCGGGACACAGTGTGAATTACTGGATTTTTGATGGACAAGAACTCTGGAGCTTTTCCAAATTGTCGTTAACAGATGCACCTCCCATCAGCCATGAGTGGTATATTCTCTATTCGTTGGCTGAGGTGGTGTTGAAAACAGCCTGGTCACCAGGTTATGTGGGCCATCCCAAAGAGTTAGCAGGTAGTGCAGCCACCGCTCAGGTCTAGCGGGATAGATGGCCATTTTTCAATCGTGAGGGTTGTTTCTAGTCGAAACCAACTGGAAGCGAGAACAAAGTCATTTAAGAAGCCAAACTGTTTGGTTTCCTGGAATAGCAACAAACTGCATATGACAAATAGAGACGATCAGCGGTGAACATTTTGAACAGTACGGTAAGAAAAATAGACGACGTACTTCCTGAACACATTGTATCAAACTAGAAAACAGGGAACTCAGTAGCATGCAGGATAGTGTGGACCAACGTACACTTTAAAAATGCTACAGCACTAATTGGATGTATATACAGAGCACCTTATACCTTTAGTGAGTACGAGGCCCAACCCATTAGTGCACTGGAGCAAGTGTCGAGTCTCCCATTCGACCATAAGATCATATATGGAGACTTCAGGCTACCCGAAATCAACTGGGACTTACTGCCCCGTCTAAATTTGATAAGCTCTTAAGAAAACTGAACATTTTAGGCTGGAAACAAACTGTCACTATCCCCACAAGAATTGATAACGACAAAGACTTAATGTTCCGTCACACTAGGGTTAATACTTAACGCTCCTAGTTCTATCTCAGGAGCTCCAAATTTGAGTATGGGGAATGGAGAACGCACCACACTAGTCAGATTTGCTAGGATGTATGCACTCACAGAAATCCTAAGGAAGCTATTGGATCTCACGAAACATAGTACTTCTCTCCTCATCAACATAGGTAGGCTGAACAGAGACCCTGCAGATACGTGTGAATTACTTAAAAAAAACACTTTCAGCTAACTATATTAAGCCCACAATCTCATTACTGAGTATACACTCTACTGATACGACGCGAATTCCCAATTTTCTCACAATTAAACAAATTAGTGCAACTGAGTACGCGTATGGTGACACCAACCAAGCCATTAGAACTCTCAACAGCTCTAAATGTGTCAGCGCTGATGGTATTCCGTCGTATTTATATAAATATGGTGGACCTGATATTCCCATATCACTGCTTAAAACCTTCACAATGCCTTCAAAAACTCGAACCTAACCAGATATATGGAAAACGACATTTATTACACAAAAACACAAGTGCGGCTCAAAAACAGAAGTCACATTTCATGGTGTAGTGGACGACGAGACGACTTATTATAAACCTAATATTCTTCTTTAAGGTTCCATGCAAAATATCATTCTGTGACAGTAAGGACATACACTTCTCACCTCAAGGCTCTTACGACCTGTGTAACCAAACTTTCACAGTGGCCATAAAAGCCTTTAGATCATCACTCCGCCAGAACGTCTTCACAGACATGTATTTTAAAACATGGAACAGTTCACCCCTATAAATCAGAACATGCACTTTGGATACACGCTGCTATATTCTGCTGACTGTAAAAACAATAAGAGCGTATCATTTATTTCTAGAATAAATCGAATACTAGGACCCCTAAATGTCTAAAGAACGCGCAGAAATCTATAAATTACTCTGCGTGAATGATGAAGAGTATAGTGGCATAGGTTAATAAGAAGACTGAGAGAGTATCAATACGCGTGTTTACTAGACAGAAATTTATTTTTTATTTTTTATTACAGAAATGTACAGTAAATATGAACATGTACATATACTGACACTGAAGTTCTGTTTGCGTCCACGCACTTATATTTCCGGCACTTCTCTACCTGCCTGCATAAAAAGCCACTATCAGAACAAATTGCTTTTCATAGAAGAGGGTGAAGCGCGTTTGTCTTGTCCTGTTAAATAAGTACGAAGGCGCTCTTGGAGTCTCGCGGTCCGTCCAGAAAGTTGGTTACTCTAAATTATAGCAACCCTAGACAAAACTATATGATAAACAGACATAATGATCCTGAGCAACCAGTGAGGTGATTCCGTAGTTTATAAGTGGAATCATGGTCGCCGTACACAAGTTGCGAAGCAGATTTCATACAAATTTAGTGTTTAAGTACTGCTTGGGTAACAGGCACACAGGAAGGGAGAAGACATATGAATGGGGGGGAGTAATGCAATTGTGGATGTAAACAGCATCTACTGATGGGCTTAAATATAGATGCCTAGACTGCTGCAGCAGAAAATCTGCCAGATTTTGTTAATCTTCTCTATGGGAATCGCATAAGTTCCACCAAGAGTTAATGGAGTAACTTAAAAAAAGATGGTCAGAGCAGCAAATGAGTCAGGAATCACGATGATTTATACTTATCTGGACGAATTTAGGTATAGAAATTGGTTTGGCCTTCTTATGAGGACTCCAGTGGTAAACCGGAAGGTTTTCTTGCAACACATACGGGAACGTCACTCTTTGTAACTACACTTTTGACACCACAGTATTTTTCTGTAATTTTTTGAATCTACAAGCCTTATTTTGAACTCATGTGACCGGTCGAAAATATTTCTAATGGTATTTGGGTCGCTGTCGTTTAAAGTTATCAGAAGGTGTTCTCTTTTGAGTATCGTTGGGTTCTTCGGTCACCTTTTCGGGGCTGACTGATTCCCCAAGGACCAGCGGGTATCCATTCAGCTGTTCATTACTTGGAACGACTGGTTCAAGGCTTATGCGATTGCCTTCTAAGTAAGTCAGATTCGGACCGTCAGTACAAGGGGTCCTTGTGACCTACTTCCTCAGAACAAGTAGTCTACCCATGCGCTTAATGACTTCATATGGTCCACCATACAGTGGTTGCCGCAAGTGACGTATACAGCCAAGACGAACAAATACGTGAGATGAAGTTTTTGCGTAT